CCCCAAAACCCCAAAACCCCAAAACCCCTAAGAATCTTGCTAATATTGATTTAATAATCTCCTTTATGGATTTTCAACTTGAGAATATTTTTCGACATTCTTCAGAAAGACATGTGGCTTTGCCCTTCCTGAGATCCTTCCAAAGAGTAGCCATAACTGGCTAGAATCTGACCAACAAAGATCTTAAGAAGATTCAGAGATAAAGACTGACCCAAACAACTTCTTTTTCCAACAGAGAAAGGAATAAAGGAGTAATTACTCCTCTGACCCTTCTTTTCATCAGGTCTCATAAAATCCTTCGATAATGGGTTGAATCTTTCTGGGTTGAACTCAGAAGGATTTTCCCATTCATCAGGATCCATATGAGCTGCAAGAATGTTGACTGATACAAGAGTGTCCTTGCGGATTGGGACATCACAGATCTCAGCAGAACCCTCTACGGCTTTGTAGAGGTTGCTCTGAGCCATAGGAGGATCAATTCTTAATCCTTCTTTGATGACATAAGTTAAAAGATCTCAGCTGTCAAGTTGCTCTTTTAAATGTTCTGCATCAACTTGTTTGAAATTATCTTCCAAATGTCTGAGATCTTGCTTGAGTTTCAGATAGATCTGCTCGCTCTTCCTAACCTGATACAGGATAGAGCACATCGCGTGTGGGAGTGTCTCAGCAGAAGCGAACAAGAATGAAACACATTCCACAAAGGCTTCGTATTGAGAATAATCTTCAGAATTTGATAATATCTTGTACATGGAGTTTTTATCAGTAGAAATATTCGTAAAATCTGTTAAGATCCTCATCATCTCAGTAATATTGTACATATTCCTCTTGAATGGGTCGATAGCGTAGTTTTTAGATAAGAATTGAAACATATGGGCTTTGATATCATCTCTCTGAGCTTCAGAATCTTCTAAAATCCTTGGAAATAGCGTAAAATAACTACAAGTCTCTACATATCCATCTGCATGTCTGTAGTGGGCATAGTTTATCTTCTCCTGAAAATCTTCACCGAATAGCATATGGCACATGATTTCAAGTGTGATCATTTGGGAGTATTTCAAGAAATCTACCAATTCGTCTCTTCTGATTGTATTCACTCTCCGGAGGATCAGGGATGCTATCAGTGGCATTTTTGATAAGAAGAATGATACTCCGAGACATTTAGAAAGATGGTACATTTTGGGCTTTGACTCATCATCCTTCGTTTTAAAGCACATTGCATCTTGTATAGCTTGGTAGCTATAGCTGGCAAAGTGGTCGCTGCGGTCAAAATCCTCTGGCACCTTCTTTTGGAACTCCTCGATTGACTTAATGGAGCACAGCTCTAAATGATGCCAAGTCTTTTGAAAATATAGCTTAAAATCTTTACATCTCTCTACATGTTTGTTTGTGCTCCTTCTAAATTGGTTATAAGACTCATCTCTAGGGCTACAAGTGACTGAGTGCTTCATGTAATGTCTCTTTATCATGTACGGAATGAAGAAAAAGCGATATAGGAGATACAACCCTACCAGCACAGACAGTGCGAAGGAGTATTTCATCCCTTCAACAATGTACCCCAGCAAGGTATCGTATAAAACATCGAAGGTATTTGCCTCCATTTTTCAATTTTAATTGAATTATTGGTATAAAAATGTTCAATACTTGTGTAAGCTATTGGGGTTTTGGGGTTTTGGGGTTTTGGGGTTTTTGGGG